CCCAGTGCCTGGCAGTGGCAGCGGCAGCATCCCAACTTTCAGCCGGGAGGGGGGGTGTTCCACCTGTCAGGGGCCTTCAGATCGCTCTCCGGGGCAGAAGGGAACCCTCCTGCCTCACCCCCTCCTGCGCACACAAGGCTCTAAAGTGTTCCTGGACACACACACACACCCGTCATCCCCGGGAACAGGTCAGGCCGCCGCAGCCCTCTTCTGCCCACCTTCGGTGCTCAAAACCATCTACCCTACTGATGTGGTGTGTCTAGCAGTGGCGCCCGCATGGACCGGGGCGGGGGCAGGGGCAGGCAGTGAGAAGGGCGTGCGTTTCTGGCAGCCCCGGCCGGTGAGCTGAGCTGACAAGAATCTCCCCCTTCTTCTCCCCCCTCCTCCCCCCTCCCCACAGTGACCTGGCAACGGCTCATCGTGAAGCAGGGCGGCGCCCTGGCGGGCTCCCTGGACCTGAGCGCCCTGGCCAAGGTGTCTGACGGCTACAGCCAAGGCAGCCTGGTGGAGGCGGTGCAGGCCGTGCTGAGCGAGAGGCGCCTCCTGCAGCTGCCCAAGCGGCCACTGGTGGCCGGCGAGTTCCTGCAGATGCTGGCCAGGTCGGAGCCCATCTACCCGGAGGAGGAGGAGATGCTGAAGGTACCCGCTTGGCCCTCTCTCTTCCATGCGTTCTCACCTGCCCACGCGCCAGGCCCCCATTTCAGGGGAAGCAGCCAAGCGGCCTGCCGTGGAGTCTGTTTGGCAGAATCAGACCGAGGGCCACCGTGGCCAGCCAAAGGGGTGGCATTGTGGGTTCCTTCTCAGTGGCAGGCTCTGAAGGCTTCCTGTGGGAGGGGCCCCGCGGGGGGGGGGCGCCCTGAGGTTGGTTTTCTTTTTTGCAAAAGAGGCCCCGAAGGCAGACCCTGGCAGGGGTTTCGGAAGGTCTAGCCAGTCCATCTGGTTAAATGCTTTTTGGACACATGAAACTGTTCCTGCGGAATCCGACCTTTGAGGCCAGTGTTGTTTACTCTGAGTGGACCCTCCCTGGTCTGATCCAGCAGGGCTCTTCTGGTGTTCTTGTCAGGGGAAGGCCTCGGCCTCCATGCCCTGTTTGTTGGCCCTCCAGAGGAACCGGTTGGCCACTGTGTGAGACGGGAGGCTGGACTAGAGGGACCCTCCCTGGTCTGACCCAGCAGGGCTCTTCTGGTGTTCTTCTCAGGGGAAGGCCTCGGCCTCTCTGACCTGTTGTTGGCCCTCCAAAGGAACTGGCTGGCCCCTGTGTGAGACGGGAGGCTGGACTAGATGGACCCTCCCTGGTCTGACCCAGCAGAGCTCTTCTGGTGCCCTTCTCAGGGGAAGGCCTCGGCCTCTCTGCCCTGTTGCTGGCCCTCCAGAGGGACTGGCTGGCCCCTGTGTGAGACGGGAGGCTGGACTAGAGGGACCCTCCCTGGTCTGACCCAGCAGGGCTCTTCTGGTGTT